TGAACTTATCTAGCTTCCTTGCTTCTGTCTTGTACAGCTCCATGGCAGAGAAGCAGTCCAGAGAAGTGATTCTGTCTGGCTTCTGGGACTCACTGACTGAGAAAAAAAATCTACTGTACAGTTTTGGTCTGCTCTTCACTTTCGCTTCCCAGCCCTTGAATCAGTTTCATTTTCCCCAGTACAGCTTTACTCAGAGTGGCAGACTTGATCCCCGGCCAAACTCAATGTGTACATTTAAATCAACTGCTGCTGCTTCTGGGCAGATCCTGAACTCCATCCAGGCTCCCATTCAGGAATCCCCCCATCTCAGCTGACTCAGGGGAACAGGAAAAAGACAGCTGAGCATCATTCGCGAGCCAATGACACCCCACCGTAAACCTCCACACCGCATGGATAGTTAGCAGTGAGTCATCATCTCTTAGGCTTCAATTTCTTGCTCACTTGTCCAATTTCTATTCCAGGACAAGCAGTGAACCATTTAAAAATGAGTTGGGGATGGGGAAGAGGTACTACAGGGTGGCTGGGGAAGGGGAGACACTCCTGCTTCTGCTGCTGTTGGCTGCAGCTTGGGATAGCTTGGAATGGTCAGCTGGTGTCTTTCAAGAAGACCTACCAAAGGATACACTGCTCATGGGTCCATCACCAGGTCTGCTGTAGGCATGCACACATTCCAAGGAACATATGCACCATCAGTGTGCACTTTATTTTTCAGTGATGCACACTGAATAATTCCTACAATGCATTCAGCACATGTGCAGCTGGAATGTGTAATCCAAACCCCACATTGATCTAAGTATTGGTCCCCAGTTCTGTTTTTAAAGTGAATGTGCACTGGCTCTTTCTGACAAACAAGTATCTGTGCATACCTGCAAGGTGTATAAGCATTCATTGAGATGTGTGAACAGGGCTACTGTTTGGTGTAGCGGTTAAGTGCGCAGACTCTAATGTAGGAGAACCGAGTTTGATTTCTCACTCCTCCAGTCGCAGCTGCCTGATGACCTTAGGCAAGCCATAGTTCTCTCAGAGCTGTTCTCTCAAGAGCAGTCCTCGAAAGAGCTCTTTCAGCCCCACCTACCTCACAGGGAGTCTGTTGTGGGGAGGGGAAGGGAAAGGAGTTTGTAAACCACTCTGAGACTCCGAGTGAAGGACGGGGTATAAATCCAATCTCTTATCTTCTTCTGCTGTCAAGCAGATATACGTAAGAAGTTCACAGTTAAAATGACAGATGCTTGAGGATTTGGGGGCTGATTCAGATCAGGACCACAGCTGGCAAGGAGAGGGGACTCCACCAGTGTTCCCTCTAAGTTGAGTTAGTGTGAGATAGCTCACAGTTTTTTAGCCTCTGGCTCACACATTTTTGTCTTAGCTCAGGAAGGGTGGCTCCAGAGCAAACTAATTTATGCAGTAGCCAAATCGTTCACTCACAACTTTAATGCCACGAGTTCACAAAGTAGAACCACCGTGCCTCAGCATGAGGCGTGCCCACCCTCCTTCTTTTGCAAGGGCGGGCTCTCCTGCCAGGCAGACCCAGCAGCAGATTTTCCCCTGCTGGGGGGGGGGGCTGGCAGGGAGCCACCAGCCCCAGGCAAACAGGCAGCCGGGGACCAGGGTCCTGGCTTTACCTGCGGCCAGTGGGGGCACCTGCGCCACAACTGCCCCCTAATGGAGTGTGATCTTGGCTAGGAAACTGCAATGCAAACCTTGGCAGTTGGGAACCGCCACCCCCGTGTGGACCCTCCCAGTCATGCTGAATCATCGGCAGATGGTGGCCCTGATTGACAGTGGGAGTTCCGTCTCAATGATCCATTCTCACCTCCTTCCCCAGTCGCTCCCAGTCCATTGCACGGCCACCATTGCTTCTTTCCATGGGCATACCGAGCATGGCCCAATGGTGGTAATACCCTTAGAATACTTGGGGTGGTGATGGGAAGTACCAGTCACCCGAGTGGCCTGCCTGCCCTATCCCATACTTTTGGGGAGAGACGCTCCAAACTTTGCAGGCGCCTTCTGGGGGGCCAACCCCGAGGCTCGAAGGGACTCAGGAGATGATCAGGAGGGGGCAGAGTGTGCTTATGAAGGGGTACTGGCAAGTGCCGGTACATCCACCAGACCGGCTTTTGCAACACCCCAGGGGCTGTTTCACTTCAAAAGGATGTCATTCGGGCTCCATGGGGCAGTGGCCACATTTCAATGCATGGTGAACAAGGCCTTGGGCCAATGCACGAGCGAAGCTATATATACCCTATATATAGACGACATCACTGTATGCAGCCCGGATTGGGAAACCCACCTCCACCACTTGCGACAGGTGCTGGGGGCACTGCAGGAAGCGGGTCTGAAAGCGAACCCCGGGGAAAGCCAGCTGGGGTTCCAGGAGTTACACTATATAGGATACTTGGTGGGGCACAGCCAACTGTGACCCCACCAGACAAGGTCACCACGTTGGAGCACCAACCATGACCGACGGTGAAGCAGCAACTCTGTCACTTCCTGGGCTTTGTTGGGTACTATAGTAAGTTTGTACCCCACTTTGCAACAGTCACCAGCCCCTTGACCAATTGCCTTAAAAAAGACCACCCAAACCAACTTCAGTGGGGCACTGAACAAGAAGGGAGTGGGACCCCAGGCGATGGTGACTGGCAGGGAAGGGCTGACAGAGGAGGCAAGGGGCAACACAGATAACCTTTACACGACAGAAACAGGTTCATTTATTTAAAATATTTTCCGGAAATATTTTCCGGATGTATTATCCGGAAACTTTGTGAGAGATAGGAGCTTTATACAGCCACTTTTTTGAATTGATATTCTTTGTGAACAGAAGAAATGACTACAAACTGAGATGTGACAAAGACTTTGGTCGAAACGGACGGTTAAAATCTCGAGCCAGTTCGTCTTGCTGCCTTTATTATACTGGGACTTCGGTCTTCTGATGTTCAATTATTGAAACAAAAGCACATATATTAAATCAGTGTCATGCAAGAAAACTGAACTTGTACAGCAACTTTTTGTATTTCTGCATCCATAAAAGACAGCACTACAAAGTATGAAACCAGCAGCAACGATTTAAACAATCAGTACATCAATTTCCAAAAGTCCTTACAAATAGTTTGGCTTCCCACATTTCTCACGGCAGCCCATCCCAAAGGACAGGGCTGTCACTGAAATAGCCCAAGGATGTGTGGAAACCCTCCTAACTCTCTCAGTGCCGAGACTGTTGCACTCAAGGGCTCATACTGGGAGACTTTATAGTCTGGCAAGTATGTTGGTCTCAGGCCCTTTAGAGGGTTAAAGTTCCAAACCAGCACTTTGAAACTGGCAGCCATTGTAGCTGTTTCAAGTTCTCGCCAATCTGGAAGTATTCACTCGCTTCCTTCAGCAACTGGGCAGCCACACTTTGCATTAATTGCAGTTTCTGAGGTGTCTTCAAGGGCAGCCCCCTCCCACAGAGCACATTACAGTCATCTAGCATCAAAGGTACAACAGTTTGGACCCCATCTTTATTAGATTATCGGGGTTGACAAACGACGGCAGTGAGATCTTGTGTTGTACAATACTCTTTTATTAATTTTTTCATTACTTTTTAAACAAGCTAAACAAATATGCAGTGCTCAGTGGCACATAAGCATTTGCAAAGATCAGAACCAGCTTTGGACCATTTTAAAGAAAGTGTATGGAAACAAACAAGGCACTACATTATATCATCTAATGTGAGAGTCAATGTGCCATAATGGTTAGAGCATCAGACAAGGATCTGTGAGACCCAGGTTCAAATCCCCAGTTTCAAAGTGCTGAGCGAGAGGGTGAAGAGTTGGCAGAAATTAAAAACTCTGAATCTGCTTAAATTTCACCCGGGGAAAGGTGATCAGCAAGTGGTTGTGGCAGATACGCTCCGGAATACCTTTCTTGTTGGCTTGCCCGGAGTGATTTTTACAGAACAACAGGTTCGGGACACCACTCTCTGAACCAGGTTTGTGCAAACAAGTGCTCAGGGTGTGCCTCCACCGTGGATTTCCACAGGATCAGGGTTGGGAGAGGATTAGGATCAAGACACGAAATACCTGGATGATTCTTTCTTAAGAGGAAAAAAACAGTGCATTGATCTGTTTCACTCATAGATTTTAGGCAGCAAGGCCACAAAGCTGTTTTCGTCTCTGAAAATCTAGAGCACTCAAGAGGCATGGGAGACTCACCTGTCTTTCCGGCATTCGATATGGGTCTGGAAGAGGTCTACGAATTCCATAATGGCGGATGGTCGCTTCTTCCCCCCATTGCACCTACAGCAGAGAACAAAGATGCAAAGATTTGTGACCTTGGGGTGAACAGACTTTCCTGTAATATCTCTCACTGAATCCTGCAATTCTAGAACCATCTTGCACACACACAACCTCACACACAGAGAGAGAGACAGAGACAGTTTGGCAAGCAATCCTCCTGAGTACACAGAGAAACTGGCAGCTTGGAAGGTTCTGGAGTTTTATATTGGATATCATTGAAGATATTGACAGCTTTCATACTTGAAATACACAATATAAGCAAAGCAATTGTGAATATGTGTGCTTCAAATCTCCTTCATGGGCTGTTTTCATCTATAGAAACTGACATATGAGAGGGGCACGGGAGACTTACCGGTCTTTCTAAAGCTGGTCTTCCAGGTGTCACTGGATATGAGACTGGAATATATCTCCCACCTTGGAGGGTGCAATAGGATGCTTCTTCCTCCCATAAGGCCTGCAGCTGAAACAAAGACAGGGGAATTGTGACTTATGGACAAACAAGCTACTCCATAATGGCCCTGGACTTTTAGGATCATACCATGCCCCAAATCTGGAAAATAATCTTCCTAAGGGCACAGATGGGACTGAATCTGTGGGAGAATTTGGCATTAAACATCCCTGAAACCATTACCATACTTGTTATATGTAATGCAAGTAAAGCAGTTCTGCATACATATGCTTCATGTGGGAACTTTCTTTTGTCACTCTGTTTGCTTCTGGAATATAGCATGCTGCATTTTTTAGCAGGGTGGACTTGGAGGATGGATGAACCTTCAGATTATTTTTTTTTGCTTGTTTAAAACATTTATACCTCACACCCGCCATGAAACATACCTGAGGTGGGCACTACCAGGTTCTTAGTCGATATCCTGACCCTCCTCAGCCTACTCACCCACTCAACACCAGTGTTTCATCCAAGTAAGGGTAGCAACTCTCTAAGGACAAGGGGATACTGGTGCTGAAGTGTGTTCACAGTTCCTCTCCTCAGCTTCCAAAACCCCACTGACATGAAATGGAAGGCCGGCTAACCTGCAACCCCTCTGTCTACTTAGTGCATTTTTATCCAACCCTTCCCCCAAGGTCTTTTCCCACACCGGCTGGACTGGTGATATTCAAACTGGGAATAGCATACCATGCTGTGGTATTCCACACTGCAGAAGTGGATGAGTATTCCCAAGTAGTGCTTAGAGCACTTTAAAATGTACATGTGATTTCAGACCATGTGTCATGATCTGTGCAGGACTGGGAGGCAGGGCCTGGTGGAGCCTAGTCCTAGGAGAGACCTGCATGGGAATGGAAAGCAGACAGCCAAAATCCCCACAATGCTTAGCGATGGTTGTAGCCAATGAGTGTAGCCAATGAGAGCTTTGAGGGCTATAAAACTGGGTTCTTTCTCTTCTGCGGTCTTCTCTCACAGAGCTAAAACTGAGGGGACAGTCTGGTCTCAGGAAAAGATCCCTCACTTGGGAGAGTGAGTACAGGACAGGCCTGGTATAAGAGGCTGTGGGCCTTGAATAGTAACCAGTTAAGTGAAATAGCTTTGTGTTTATTTTGCCTTTAGACAGTGTTATATATTTTAAGCACCTTGTTTTGTTTTCCTTGCCCCATTACTGTATTAATAATTTGTTTTATGTTCTCTGCCTGGTCATCACGCCTATATTTCTTGGCTTAAAATGAGCATTTTGCTTGGGCCTGGGAGGGTACTCTGGGCCTTCCCAAGGGACCCTAAATCCAGAGTGGTGGCAGAAGAAGATGGCAACCCCCTGGGGGTCATGACACCATGTATGACTTTTTCCACATGGGTTATTGGCCCCAGGTTCAATGCTGTTGGGATGTAGGTTTTTTTCCCATTTATCCACAGCAACCTGCTACCTTTGTGCACCTCTAAGGATTTCCATAGCTTTTCTCCATTCTTTCCCAAACCTGTTTTGCTGTGAAATTTCAGGAAAGATCACAGCTTGGATGCCTGCTTTATGGTGGAGAACATTCAGATTTTCCCAGTCTCACACAAATGCAAGCCATTTTCCCTTCCCAATCCCCATGGCAGCCATCCCCACCCCCCCACTTCTATCAATGGCTTTATTGGGTGGGGTTTGAGTTGGTAACTGACATAGTGACATACCAGTCAATTACCAGTAAAAGAAACAAATCTATGAAAGAACTTCCAAATGGCATGGGAGAAATAGCCATGGCAAGGATATGGGGAAAAAAGGGAAATGTGCCACCTGGAAGCCCCAGTGGCTGCCTTGGCAGACACAGCAAGAATGTGACTTCCACAGGAAAGTATCATCATATGGAACAGCCCAGTGGCCACTCAAGAAATGGCCTTCTTAATTGTGGCAACAGAATTATGGGATTGTTTCCCTTCTCAGGGAGATGTGTCAGAACATCTATGATGTCCTCCAGACGACTCCAGTTTTTGAGAAGTTAAAAGGTTCCACCATATGTGACAGCCTTGCTCAGCATCTTTGAAAATGCAGACTGTGGAGTTTTTGGAGGTCACGGTGTCTCTGTCTGAAGGAGCTAATTTTGCCTACTGAAATAGTTGATGTCAGTGGTATCACAACATCCTAGGGTGTTGTTCTGTGAAGCTCTGGGGGAAGTTTTCATGAACTTTTAGCTTAAGGAGGTAGAATCAGAGGGAGCGAGAGCCTGAAATGATGTCAAAGAGCCTGCTGCTGTAACTTTTCCCATGCTTATTTTTATAGATATAGTGCTTTTTATAATTAAAAAAGCCACAAAAGGACACAATGCTTTCGATCCTATTTTTATTCTGTAGGAGAATAATCCTGTTTAATAGATTCACCTCCTTTTCTGGTGGATTAAAGGCTGGACACGGAGGTAACAGGATAGTTTGATGGTTTCCTACATCCTGTCCTGACTAGCCTCCCCAAAAGGGACGTCATTGACAGATGCATCTGTCTCCCTCTCTCATTGTCTTCTGCCAGAAGGTGAAGATTTGTTTCATTTGGAGTTCCCTTCCTGACCCTCCTTCCTTTGTATATGGTTGGTTTAACTGTTGTTTCTAATTGTTTTTATACTGTGTCATTTAAGAGCTTGTCCTAATATATTTTTATTGTCCTTCACCTTGGGGACCCTAAGCTGGGTGGAAAGTCCAGTTTGGGGACCTCAAGCATTAGAATGTTGTAAATCTACAAATAAATCTCCCTGACCCACATGGGCATCAAAGGGGGCATTGCATTCATTTCTATCGCACCGGCACATCCCAGTGGAGGACTGGGGACCCATAGTAGTTTGTGCAGCATTTCTGACGAGAACAATGTTCAGCTTCTTGTGCAAGTAGATCCCAGCGGCTCCCATTCCCCAGGAGTCCAGTGGGGTCAGCTGGGTCCAGGATGACAGGTCTGAAATCCATAAACAGAAACAGCCAGTGAGGTACAGTGGTTAAAGCACTGAACATGAGTATGGGAGACTGATAACAAAGTCAAGGGCAGTGATGTTTTTCCAGGAATAAGTAAACTTCTCTTCAAATGAAAGTGGAATAAGTGGTTACAGAGCAAATGAATACAGAATCCACCAGGTCTTTAGGAATGTGTAGCTTTGGCAGTATTACAGGTGCACAAGGGTATCCTTAAGTGCATGAAAGAACACAGGAAACTGACCTGGGCTTTTGGAGCTGGTCCATCAGGTATTGTCTGAGGGTGGCATTCCGCAAGTCATAGTACTTGGTCCAAAATATGCAGAGCTGCTTGTATTGCTGGAGGAGCCAAAGCACCGTTCGGAATCCTTCTGCCATGTCAAACTTTGTCTTCCTACTTCCTTTCTCCCAGGCATAGACAGCCAGGAGCTCCAGTGCATATTTGGGAGGCAGTGACTCCCCCTCTTGGAGCCACTTTTTGTACGGACGGACGTACTAGGAGGGAAAAAAGTTGGGCTGTCAAACTACCTCCCCCATTATCTGAGTTCATGCATATGGGGTGTGAGAATGAGACAGATTTTCCAAATATAATAAATTACTGTGCCTTAGAACAGCTGATCAAATTGGTCAAAGTCTGTTCAGAGTTATCTGCTGAAAATAGGCTTTTCCCCCCAGGTGTTCTTATCCTTTGGAAAAGACCAAGCAAAAATATTAGTCAAGCAGAGAAATGCTGTGGATCCATTAAACTATTTAACATATCTTGAAGTAAAAGGGTTTAGAAGAGCCTTCAGTCTTTGTGAGGTGCTCTGCCCTTCCTTCTGCTGTACTTGAAGGAAAATAGAGGAATACAAGGGGTGGACCCGCGATATTCGCGGGGGGGGGGGGGCAGGGGAGGGAGCAGGCGGGGGGG